AGGGAGGAGGAGGAATAGGGCGACGCTGTTTGCGCCCCGGGCCTGTGGGGTTCCACCCCGCCAAGTCCTCTGCTGCCAGCCCCCACACTCCATCCTCAGACTCGCCCAGCATACAGGCGTCTAGTCACCGATGGAGACAGGCCTCACTCAGAGACACAGACACGCTCAGAAGGGACGCATTCGGAGCGACTGGCACAGATCCCTAGGTATTCAGCCATCCACACAGAGAGGTGCTCAGATTCACACTTGAACCCATAGAGAAGCTCAAACAGGCACCCACATGCATACAGTCACTGCAAGATCCACCACAGGCACCTCAGACACACAGACACCCTCAGACTCACAGACCATCGAACAGGTACAACCAGAGTCAGTCTCATAGACCCCTGGACAAACAAATCCACAGATGCGCAGAGACGATAGAGACCCTCGGTCTCACACTGAGACATTTAAGTACATACACCCGCTTGACAAGCTCAACCTCACAGAGACCTGCAGACACCCATAGCACTCAGCTTTCTCACAGAGACCCTCAGGTCCCACACAGACCCACCGAGAATTGCAGGCAGGCACACACTGTCATGTCGCACACTTACAGACACTCTGAAAGATACATCAGTGATTCACAGACCCTCATACACTCAGATGAACACCCTCTCAGACCCTCCCACGAGCACAGACAGAGGTGTTCAGCTCAGAATCACCCGCTGGCGTCAGGACCCTAAGCACTGACCGACACACACAAACATTCAAACTCACACATACAAACCCTCTGACAAGTGCACCCACAGACACCCTCAGACTCACACAGAGGCACTCAGATACACTCAGATGAACACACTCTCTCAGCCCACAGAATACAGTGTGGTTGTTTTACACCACGAAGTTTGGGGGTAATATTTTATGCCACAATGAAACAGTGATGTTGAGCAAGTGAACTCACCTCTTCTGAGCCTCAGTTTCTTTTGTTGTAAAATGGGAGTGATACGTCATCATGTGAGTGTCATCACTGAATGAATTAATAAGTGTGGAGTCCTTAGGACAGTGCCCAAGGGAGACACAGTAAGTAGTGAGCGGCTGTATTAAAAAATTCTCAGAGGCAGATATCCAGAGCCGGAAGGAATCTGAAAGATTACCCAACTCCGACTCAATGGCAGTGGAGTGAGTTCATCTGGGAGAGAGGGAAACTGAAGGCCAGAAACTGCAAGGGACTACCTAAAGCCACATAGTACAAGGGAACAGAGCTATTGCCAAATGAAGACATTCTGACCTGGACCAGTGCTCTTCCTACTGTACGCCAGGCTGCCTGCTCACCTGGGAGTGGGAGGTGGAGGGAGGTCCCTGGGGCTAATGCAGATGAGGCTGCCGGTATAGAAGCAGAAAGACGCCCAACAGAAGCAGTCAGCCTCTGGCCAACCATATAGGCAATGGACTTCCTGATGAGAATTCATCCTTCTTGGTTGACTGATGTCTAAAATTCTACCATTAGGGCTTGGATGTGTAAGCTTAAATTGGGGTATGTACTTTCCCCATGGAAGATGTAAGTTGTACTTGCACCTGAGTATGAATAATGTGTCCTAAGCTCAAGTTTGACAGTGAGGGGTTGCTTGAAACTGTGGATGGGGGAGTGGTACATCCAGAAGAAGGATAGGAGAAACTGGAGACAACTTCCATTTGGGACTCACAGCCCACTAAGGTAGAGGATGCCAAAGGCCAAGTCATCCAATAGCGTGGAGTTGAAGGAATATGGCCTGATTAAGTTCAAATATCTGTCCTTATTCTAGCAGTGTGACCTTTGGCAAGTCTCTTGGGGTTCTCAAAGAAAATGGGGATAATTAATGTTCATTTTGCAAAGTCAAGCTAAAGATTAGATGTATACAGATAGAGTACTTGGCGTATTTGATTTTTTCCATTACTATCCAGTCTATTCCAATTCACAGCAACCCTGCAGGACAGAGTAGACCTGCCCCATAGCGTTTCCAAGGCTGTAATCTATACACTCCAACATAAAACAAAAATCCTCATAACTGGACCAATGAGCAGCATCATGACAAATGGGGAGAAGATAGAACTTGTCAGAGATTTCATATTGTTTCCACAATCAACACCAATGGAAGCAGCAGTCAAGACATCAGACATGTATTGCACTGGGTAAATCTACTGCAAAAGACCTTTTTAAAGTGCTGAAGAGCAAAGATGTCTTTTTGAAAACTAAAGTGAGCTTAACCCAAGCCAGGATGTTTTCAATCGCCTCATATGCATGTGAAAACTGAACAATGAATAAGCATGACTGAAGAAGAGTTGATGCTTTTGAGTTGCGGTGTTGATGAAGAATACTGAAAGTACCATGGACCACCAGAAGAACTAACAAATCTGTCCTAGAGGAAGTGCAGCCAGAATGCTCCTTGGAAG